ACCTGACCCGAGTCATCGAATTTCCCGTTTCGATCTCAATATTCGCTCGCTACACACTGTCTCCTTATCTGACTTTGTCTCCCGAAATCGACTCCCTTCGCCATTGGCTTGCCGACCGCTCCCCTTCGAATCCCGACCGTTCATCGCCCGTTTGATTCTCGACGTCGACTTCAACCTCTCGAAATTCAACGACTTGTAGGGCACGCCCTTGCCGGCGTCTTTGGCTTGAAGCCCTGGCCTCCCTCTCCACCACGCCATGGATCCCAGCAACGGGAAGGACTCTAGCAACTCGCGTCGCTCATCGACTCGGCGCTCGCGTTCCTTGAGGCTGTCCACTGGTAGTGGTGCCGACGATGACTACGACCTCAGTGCGATGATGGTAGCGGATGGCTTCCGACCATCCGATAATGCCACCTCTTCCTCTTCCACAAACCCGACTTCAAACTCCAATACCCAACCCGAATCGTCATTATCATCGACCGAATCTTTTTCCCAACAGTCGGCATCTACAAAGTCATCACAAGCACCTCTTATCTCTGGATCAGACGAAATTGCTCCTGCTATCCGCAATCGACCTTCTAGCATCTCCAAGCCTCACCGAAATCATGATTCCCTTGCTCTTCGAAACGACGGTACATCAACTGCTGACCGATCTCACATACGCAACAACCACAGCCTATCGTCAGACTCTCCTGTTATTCGTGCCGAAAGTCCATATACAGGCCCGTCTGGCCCCTCTCATCCGTATCAGATGTATCCTCAGCGAACAATGAGTGTGGCTACTACATCTACCACCGCCAACGCAGTCATACCAGAAGATCGCTCTTACGGAGGCACTCAAGCTCCAACTCATCCATATGCTCTTTATACACAAAACACCACCTCCGGCGAGAGCAGCACACCCTCTATTCCAGTGGGATTCAATGGCTTGGGAGGAACTTATCAGCGACAACTAGGACCGGATGGGGAAGAGGCAGGTGATTTGGTGGGCCCATTGGGCCATATGGAGGAACTCCCGCCCTACACCAGATATCCGGATAATGCGTATGTGCCTAAACCTGCAACACAAACACCCGTATCGCCAGTATCACCCGTGTCGGAACCCCCATCCCCCAGCAGGGAAATTCCAGGAGCTGGAGGAATTGGTATGGCAACTCGCGATCCTGAGTTCTCATCAACGGATGATGACCTAGCTTTGCCGAGGACCCGGCCTTCAGTCAGAAGCCATGCCTCCGAGGCCAGCCATCACGATATCAACACCGCTGCCGCCGAAACTTCCGAGAAGCCTACTGTCAACAAATGGCAACGTCGGGCAAAGAAGAAGCTCTGGGGAATTGTACCTTACTGGGCTATTTGCCTCCTACTTGTTGGCTTGATTCTCATGGGCATCATCATGGGTGCTGTTATTGGCACTATGCTCACGAAAAACCATAACAATAATCCAGATGAACCCCCCGATCCAAATGAGTAAGTTTTGCCATTGTCCTTCACTATCATGCTAACTCCTGTCCAGCAAATATTCCTACCAACCACCAACCACGACAACATATGACCCTCAGATCATCACAGCCATACCGACTGACTTGCCCCAGATGGCCACAGGGCGGTTTGCACTTCCCAATATTGACCCTAGCCCTCAGAATAGCAATGCCTGTTTCAACGACTCGCAACAGTCATCGGCCTGGTCCTGTGACATTGTCATCCCTATGTGGTCAATTCAAATCGATAGTGGCACAAAACCCAAGTCTAAACCTTGCTACAATATGACTCTCAAAGCTATTCCTGATAAGGACACGCCATTCCCGTGGGGTGCTCAACCTCCCAGCATTCCTCAGCCAACACCTATGGTATTAGTAAACGACACGTTGGAACTTGCACGCGGTCCTGCTTGGTGGATGAGGACAAAGTACAACAAGACTGTCATCGTTTCCGAGAAGAAGTTCGGTGCTGCCCTGAGCAAGCGCGGCTGGGACGGCGACGATGAATACGAAGACTACAATTCTTTCCATCGATTTAAGAACAAGGCCCCCCCAAACGCCAAGAAAGGCGACAAGCCTTGGATATGTACATGGCCAGACACTGTCATCGAGTTCTTTATTTACCCCGGTGAAAATTCTTCGACCTATCACCCGCCTTCCGCGTCAGCTACTGTTTCTGGAGGTGCCACTACCACATACAGCACTTATTCTAGCACATCCACGTCCGACTGGAGCTCTTGGAAACAACCTGTACCCGTGTTCCCCCATGTATACAAGATGGTTGAGCGCCGATTTCTATGGGGTGAACAATCCGTCGCGACTTGCACTCAATACGAGATAGTTGGCAACGGAGATGTAGCGGAGCCTCTCGAAAAAGATGGCAAGAAGATTGTGATGGTCATTGTTGAACAGGAGGATGAGGATGTTGATGACCTGGACCTTACCTTCACAAAGCGCTCAGAACTTGAGACCAAGAAAGCGCTTCGACAGTTGCTGAAACGAACAAACCCGTCACTTACCGATTGTGGTTGCTCATGGACGTCACTATAAAGAGTTGATCTCATTTATATTGCCCTTATTTGGCATGGGCTCACTTATTTATACATGACGAGCCCTGCCATTTTATACCTTACACATTCTTCTTCGATATCACGGCGTTATACATACAAGACCAAGGGGGTCCTTACTGGATGACACGATTCTTATATATCCGTCGTGTCTACACTGATTTTCTGTCATTACTCAAGATTGCATCATGCGAGAAGGAACGAGAGTCATGTAACGGAGTGCATTTTGGGCCACAAATGAAAGGAAGGGAATATCTGGAGTTATTGGAGCGACTGACCGCTTATGAAAAGAAATGCCTATTGATTTATTTAAGTCCTTTGATTTGTGATTTTGTTTAACATTGGCTACAGGCATCTTTTTTCACTGCCAATAGTTCATAAATCCGCTATTATCAGCGTGAAAATACGATTCTAAGTTGTACTTGAAATTATGGTCAATTCAACGTCTGTTGATTCCAATACATTCGTACCCGATGATGACTTTCTCACAATGATGTGAATGAATAGCTATTATATACCTGGACAAAGCGATACCCATCTGCTCCAATGGACCTTGAAGGTCCGGCTTGATCAGTCATGATTCAATTATCCTAGAACGTCGTTCGACTGAGATGTTCGGTGCAAGAACTAGGAAACGAGACTGCGTCCCACAGTGAGTCGTTCATTGTTCCAACTTCCCACCGTGACGTCAATTCGTCTTGATGCGGACTACTCAAATTCGCTGGAGAATGTTCGATAGTATCCTGATTTTGTAAACATAGCCTCGAGGCTGTGTGTCTGATTTCGTCAAGGTCTCGCGGGCGTCACTGAGCGTCTTTTGCAACAGCTTCCTCGTTCTCTGGGGTTTCCCGAATCTCATTATCGATGATGTCTTTCCTTCCATCTCGGAAATCTCGCATTAACGACAAGAAGACTGAGTTCTTCCACTTCTCGCCATCCTCATGCTCAACTGACTCAAGAAGACGCTCTGCAGCATCTGCAACTTCTGATTTTGTCTTTGTCGCCTCAACAGGCTCTGTGACCACTGGCTCCTCTGTCTCAAGAGAAAGGCTGGCAATATCTGGTGTTGCGAGCTTAGTAGGGTTAGACTCCAAGGTCGGCTCAGTGGTTGTCTCCTGTTGCGAGGCTTCTTGAGCTTCAGCCTGCGCTATTGCTGCGTCATTGAGTTCCAGCTCACGAGCCATCTGGTCCATCATGGCGTCAACCTCTTCCATCCCGCCACCGGCGTTGTTAGCCATCCACTTTGACATTTCGTCATCAAAACCAGCCTCTTGAGTCGCCGCAGCATTGCCGTTCATGAAAGCACCGTTGGCCTGGCCATACATAGGACCGAAGGCAGCGTTTGGTTGAACGAATGCGGCTTGGAAGTTCATCTGGGGAGCTGGCTGATGCATCTGAGGTGCGGGCTGGGCGAAGCCATTCTGAAGAGGTTGACGCTGCTGTGACTGATTCGCGAAGCGGTTGAAGTCTGCTGCCCAGTTGCTTACGTCCACGGAGGGAGATTGATGCCCTTGGCGAAACTGTGGCGCTTGCGCAGCGTGAAAGGCTGGCGAGTGTCCTTGTTCAAGGACAGCGGCGTGGGCTGCTAATCTTCCTGCTGCATGATGCTGAGGAATACCTGGAAGAGTTGATGGACCATCCATGAACGCGCCAAAGCCATCTGCGCCTTGCATTTGTTGTGGTGTAGATCTGAAAGACTGATTATGTTCAGTTTATAAGTCTCTGGTGAATACGTGAGTGCTTACAGAGTGACCTTGAGGGCCTGCGCGATCTATGAGTCTGTCTTGATGGTGGCTGACATCTCGGGCCTGGTGATCGATAAGACGCTTGAAGGGTGTTCCTCCGCTACACGAAGCGTCCGCCATGATCAAGTGAGACGTTGGATATATGAGTTGATGAAGATGCTGAGAGAGTATTGAGTAGGTAGGCAGTATACCTCGGCCTATGTGATGGGTCTAGTGGCGCGTATATAGTGATATATAGTAGGACTGTGTGACGTTGAAGCTGTTGAAAACTGATTATGGGAGGCTGAAGATGAAAATGAAGATGCGAGGTTGAAGATGAATAATCCAAGAGCCGCTTTCCCCAGAAATCAAGCCCAAGTTTCCAATTCAAGACCGAGTCCCGATGGCTCGTGATTGCCCGCTCTCCCGCCCCGTCCGGGGAAGCCCCAGCTGCGCCGAGGCAACATTGAACTCGGTACGTACTGCGCCGTTCGGATACAAATGCGGCAAGTGGGGGAGTTGAGGTTCTATCCACCCAAGTCGAGATCACGCTTATATCCACGTGATCTCTAGCTTGGCCAACTGTCACCACCGCCACGGTCTGGCGCGGGCCACCTCAGATAGCTCCAGGCCATGGGCGGTATCGTGTCCTCTGATAGCCACGTTTTCTATATTTCATCCCATTTTCTTGTTTCCTTTTGCGCTGTAACTTCGGTGTGAAATCTAGCAAGATGGTAAGTGATGCATGAATCATGAGATCCCAATCCTGTCCCATCTTTAGCGGGCAACACCCAAACCAAACTTGTTCTATTATAGCTAACCCACCCCTTTAGTCGGCGCAAGTTATCACCAACTCTGGTCATGAGGACATGATTGTACGTTCCCACTCCCGATCGATGCACCTCGAAGCTATGCAATGAATAAACAAGCTCGACACGATATCTCCCCACGACCTCGAATCATACTGACAGCTACTCCCAGCATGATGCTGTCCTCGATTACTACGGGCGCAAGCTAGCTACCTGCTCTGGCGACAAGACGATCAAGATCTTTGAGATTGAGGGCGAAACCCAGCGATTGATCGAGACGCTCAAGGGGTAGGCTTGACATATCCCCATACCTAAGGAGGGGAAACTGACAGGGCCGACTTACAGACATGAGGGTGCCGTCTGGTGTGTCGCTTGGGCGCATCCCAAGTACGGTAACATCCTCGCATCGGCTGGCTACGATGGCAAGGTATTCATCTGGAAAGAGCAGGGCGGACAGAACAACGCGTGGCAGCGAATTTACGATTTCAATCTACACAAGGCCTCGGTCAACGTCGTTTCGTGGTCTCCCCATGAGGCTGGCTGTCTGCTAGCATGCGCCTCCTCCGACGGCAACGTGAGCGTTCTCGAGTTCAAGGATAACAGCATCGACCACACCATCTTCCCCGCCCACGGTCTCGGCGTCAACTCTGTCTCCTGGGCTCCCGCTACTACCCCTGGAAGCATCGTCAGCAGCGCGCCTGGTCCTGGTGCTACCGGCAACCGACGGTTCGTTTCTGGCGGCAGCGACAACGTCCTCAAGATCTGGGCTTTTGATGCTGCTTCTCAGACCTACAAGCAAGAGCGCGAGCCCCTGACTGGACATACCGATTGGGTTCGTGACGTTGCCTGGTCGCCTACTGTCCTCCAAAAGTCCTATATCGCTTCTGCTTCGCAGGACAAGACGGTCCGTATCTGGACATCCGACCCCTCAAACCCCACCCAGTGGGAGTCCAAGGTTCTCAACTTTGAGGCGGCTGTGTGGCGAGTTAGCTGGTCGCTCAGCGGCAACGTGCTGGCGGTAAGCGGACAGGACAACAAGGTGTCGTTGTGGAAGGAGAACCTCCGAGGCGAGTGGGAGTGCGTCAAGACGATTGAGGAATAGATGGAGGCAGAGTAAAGCGCGACGCAACTATGAGTACAAATAGGAGAGCCAGGCGTTCAAGGCAAACAAAAGGGTGATTATCTTGCTATGACCTCTTGATCCTGATGTGGGATGCAATGTGATGAGCGCGAATGTAGCCGAATAACGAACGCTATGCATGGGCTTGCGTATATCACGAGGCTTGGACCAGGTTACTTTTCTGGCAGGATGTTGTGATGATGAAGAGAGCCACTCTGGCTCAGTAATAGAACCGAGAACCTTTAGAAATGTTATGTTATCGATCCTTGAGTATATGATTGCTATGGAAACACGAACAATTGTGCCCACGGCTCATAGGTCAGCCGCTGTTCCAACTTGGGACGTTAATGTAAAGGCTGAAAGGCTGAAAGGCTGAATTATCGTCAAGAGCAAGAAAACTTTAACTTTTAGATGCAGGTGCCAAAATAAACCCAGCAAGAGTGCCCTAAGCTTGAGCTAAACTACCCAGATAGATATTTCTATCACCTAGAGCCTTTATCACCTCTCCAAACGTAGGCCTCGTGAGTGTCATTCTTCTTGAGGTAAGCATCCCATGTGTTATATAGCACGAAAACCTCCTTAGTTGTATCAGAGGTGAAGAACAACCGATTCTTCTTGTCCCAGGCCAAGCCGGCAGGGCGGAAACAGTCCTCCGGGCAATGCGTGTTGTTGTCTTTGTTGAACATGATGGGTGTTGTGGCATTTCCGCTTTTTATAGCGTCGATGGCAGGCTGTCCATTCTTGAAGTCGATATATGCGACTTGATATCCCACCGGCTTCATACGGTTCCCTGAGTAAGATATGTCAGTCAACTGGCTTAGGGGTTAAGCTGAAGTGGGATGACAACTTACAGCTTCCATGGAAAGCCATATATGCTCGTGTGCCGTCCGGGTTGAATTCAAGAGCTATAGGCGCAGACTGGGCCTGGAATACTTGGACAGGAGCAACGTAATCCCTTCTGCATTCCGCATCGGTTCGACGAGATCGATCAGACTTCTGATCAGCACCAAACTGTTCGCCGATTTTGATGTCGCCGATTTCAGGAAACTTGCTCGTGGACCACAAGCTGTAGCAGAAAGGGTAGCCATAGTTACCGCCGCTACTCTCTGTGGAACCATTGAGATATCCGTGGAAGTTCATCTCTTCGCCCGGGTTATCGACGCTGATATCTTTGCCATTCCGATCGAGGGCCACATAAGAGTTCTCAGTGCTGAATATTCCACCAGTAATGGGGTGTTCTGCTAGGCCCTGAGAGTTGCGCCGACCCCAACCGAGGAGAACACCATCCTTAGCAAAGTCATAGGGCTTCATATCGGGGAACTTGGGATCGAAAGTTGATATGTTGAAGGCACGGATCTGAGCGTGGCCGGAGGAACGCACCTCGGCTAGCGGGTCGTTACCTATGCCGCTCCCTCGGGAAACGACAAGCATATCGGGGTTTTTCTGTGATATGAGAAGGGATCGCCATGAAGAGCCTTCGGTAGCCAAGTTGTCGACCACCATCTTCTCTGACCCTTTGTCCAGCTTGACATTCTTGGCATCGTAAGAGTATGACCAGACGCTCGACGATGAGGAGGCATATATGGTGCGGCCATCCTTTGAAAGCGCGAGCCCCTGTCTTAGCTGTGGATTGATCAGTTGGTGACCGATAGTGTAAGAGACCGTGGATGAAAACGTACACTGCCCTTTTTGAGCAAAGTCGTCTTCTTTGCGATTCGGACACATTTTCCTCCTACGTCACTGTCATCGAGCTGGAGGTGAACTATACCGCGAAAGGCATCTAGAATAAGGAGAGCACCCTCACTATCAAACAAGATGGTCCGAGGTTGTCTGAAATTGTCACGAAGGACGGCATATTCCCAGCCAGGAGCGGTACGAGGGCTAGAGAACTTGGGCTTCGTTACTTTGTAGCTGCATTGTTGGGCTGAAGCAAAAGAAGTGATGAAGGTTGAGATCAGCGCAATTGCAACGACCATGCGGAGGGAGGTCATCTTGAACAGTGGGAGGATGACGATGGAGAGGGTGTTTGGCCTGCTCAGGACGAGAGAGGAAACATCTTTTTTATGGTCGTGGATTGAGACCACATTTTCGTTCAATTGGATCTTATGGTTCAAGGCAGATGAAGCGTGATCTGCTCTGATGAGATTTGATGTTGAAGGTATCCGTATTCTGTTGTTTGACGTATTCCATGATGCCTCTCTCGTGTTGGTTTCTTTCTTATAAGAGAGCCACACAACGCTATGGTTGATTCGACCGAAGCAGACCGAGCCTAGTTAAGCCAACCGAGAGCCACTCACTATCAAAGTAATAAGCCACACAACAACTAGCCATTAGCAACATAACTACTAACTAACCTACTGCTGTTGCAATGGCTCGCTCGACCTCGAGTGGATGATAAACCTCAAGATTGGAACAATGATATCAATGCGTACAATTAACCTATCGGAATAGGTACAGCCAAGTTGGGTCACTTGATCTCAACCGAGATGGGCACAGACCTTCAGACTGAAACATGGCTGGATATGTCATCACAAAACCATTCTTGTTTCGATCATCATTGTCACGCTGCGTGAGGTCTGAGTGTTACGCCCCAGTCTATAATATGCAGGAACAAAGTCTATCTCACTCCTACTGCCGGAGTCACAACGCCATGTCCTCTTCATCGCCCAAACTCGCAGCACAAGGTACTCAGTAACTACTTTACGAACGTGTATTATTGATGTCTGATATGTTATCCTGTTCTGAGGAGACGCTTTGCTTCACCGATTCGCCACTGCACTAGAACCCGAAGTTACTTTTTATGAGTTGGCCAAACTGGAAAGCCTCAAAAACAAAAAACAAAACAAAAAACAAAAAAAGCCCCCATTCAAAGGTTGCCTTAGCTTTGTGCTATGACACTAACCTGGGAGACAGGTCATTTATCCAATTCTTGTCCAACACTGGCATGATTAGACCTTCGTATCAGATCCCACAGAATTCGACGAGGTTTCAATTGCTACTCTATAAACATCAGACTATTGACGGGGGAAACTTACTGTACATGAACAAGAAATGTTCAGGCCGCAATTTGGATAAAACTTTACAGCCTGACTTGATTTCATGTTGATGGAATCCAATAAGACAAAATCCACATAAAAAAGCACAACTATCTCGTATCGAGCTTGACAACATGAGTGATCAGACCCCTTGTTTGAGTTATATTGCTAGTTCACCGATGTAACAGCTGATTTGCTCACTTGACCATGCGACCTATCTCATAGACAACGCATTTGCCGATGCCAATGCAATCACGAATTCACGTCTTTTAACTTTAATAAGCAACCCAAAGTCACATAAAACTTAACGCTTTCCTCCCACAGAACTTCACGGTTGCCCCGCTTCCACCGCGTCACAGGCGGATGGTCTTTTCTCAGTCGTCATCAGAAGAGTGATGGCTCATTGAGGCCCTGCAGGCTACGGTGGCGGCGGCGAAAGATTGGATGTCTTGTTAGTGTTTGATGGGGCCAGCTGAAGAGCGAGCAAGGCTTTCAAGTCAATACATGCATGTGCGGTTAAAAGGCATTGGGTACCTAGGTAGCTAATTGTAATATTCTTGACTTGCTTGCCTGCTGTAGAGGCAGTGAGTGAATGCCTAACTCATACTGGTATGAGACTGACTTGTAAACCAGAAAAGTAAACAATTAAGTAAGAACAAAGAAATAAAACAGGTCTTACACAAAAGGACTCTGCATAATGACATCGAGTGCCAAGATATACATGCATGCTGCCGTTTCGAGGCGCTTAAAAGTGTACATACTCGCTTGGTGGCTGCAACAACCAACGACCACGTCGCTTGTGGTCCGCCTCACTTATAAGCAAGATGTGCATCGTGAAAAAAAAAAAGAAAGAAAGAAAAAAGCAACTAAGAGGCCGGCACATATGCCCAAGTTCACGGTCGGGGGCTTGACCTAGTCAGGGTTGAGTCATGAACCAACAGAGTTGCAAAGGAAGAGGGTTAATAACATGTCAAATATTTCCAACGTCAAACATCCATACATAGTACAACGTCTGTTCCAACTTGATCACTCCAACCATGACCAGAGCGCACCACCATTCTCAGTCTCAGTCTCAATCTCAATCTCACCCTCCATCAGTCTCTCAAGTCTGCCAGAACGACACGATAGTCGCAATGGCTGAAAAGGGTTATTCCTGATTGACAAGGGGTGTACGTGCAGCCAGCCACATAGTCCAAACGTCCCTATCATCACACTACACTCCACAGGCCGGACCAGGCCACGCACAATATCGATCATATGCACCCATACTACGTACATAGTTACAGGTCGCAATGCTACAGGTCATTTTACGATAGAATCCAATCCATGCTGTCGTCACATCTTGGGACTTACCGATCTCTTTAATAGCCTGACCACCTCTTTCGTAACAAGTGCTCTCTCCCTTCAGTCTCGTTGTTACAACAGACAAGCACAAGTCATGGCTATCATAAACACGGTGACCGTTTTATCCTCCTCACAGATTGTCTGGGGGATTATCTTTCTATCCTTTTGCTATGTAGCCGCTGTCGTGGTTTACAGATTATACTTTCATCCCCTCGCCAAATATCCTGGCCCCTTTTGGGCACGTATCTCAGCAGTCCCTGCATACTACTACACTCTCAGACAGGATCGACATGTATGGTTCTGGCAGCTGCAAGAGAAATACGGTGAGCATTAGATGAATACCTCAAGTTATCAGAACATCCCATTTTAACAAATACGCCTATAGGCCCAACCTTTCGTATTACTCCCAATAGTGTCTTGATCAACACTCCCACAGGCCTCAAGACCATTTTCAACAACAAGGCAAATGTCAAAAAGGCCGAGTACTACAAGACATACCCACGCAATGTCCATGTCATGACAACATGGAACACTATCGACAAGACCATGCATGCTCGAAAGAGGCGGGTTATGAACCATGCCTTTTCTGACAAAGCGCTGCGC